CTAGTGGGGGGTGTGCAGGAGGCAGCCAATCAACGATTCCCTCTTATCATTGATGTTTCTATCTCTCCCTTCCTTTCCCTTCCTCTCTGAAATAAAAAAAAAAAATATATATATATATATATTATTTTTTTTTTTTAAAAAGCCCTGATCATTGGTAATAAAATGGAGACTTAATTTTTTATTTTATTTTTTCATATACATTTTTATTGATTTCAGAGAGGAAGGGAGAGGGAGAGAGAGCTAGAAACATCAATGATGAGAGAGAATCATTGATCTGCTGCCTTCTGCATGTCCCCCACTGGGGATTGAGCCCGAAACCCAGGCATGTGCCCTGACCCGGAATCGAACTGTGACCTCCTGGTTCACAGGTCGATGCTCAACCACTGAGCCCACACCAGCCGGGCAAAATGGAGACTTTAAATACCCTGGGAAGCACGGCTCCTGACGGCCAGGTGCTGACAGCAGTCACACCGGAATGCCATTCCGGGGGCTGCCCCACCTGCCCACTGTCTGCCTCCAGGTAGGGTGTCTCCCCCACCTTCCCACCAAGATGGTCCCAGCCTGTTAGAAGGGGCTGTCTGGGCTTCAGAAAGTCTTCTCTCCCCACTGGCTTTTGGTTTTACACTGAGTATAGCGGGGGAAAAGTAATTTCCGTTTGGAAATTTAAAATTGGGCTCGCGCCCAGCCAGATGGGCGCGCCCAGCCTCCAAGCGCGCAGACCCCTCCCCACACTCAGACCTTGGGCCGCAGGCCTGGGACCCCAGGCAGCCAGCCCTCCATTCATTCCGCGGCCTCCCCGCGCGCTCCGGTGCGCCTTGGCCCCCGCGAGGCCGCCCCTCGGGCGCCCAGGCCGCTCACCCTCCGATGCCCACGATGCACTTCATTTCCACGCGGAGGGGCGGCGGGGATCGCGCTCGGCCTGCTGAATCCCGGGCACTCCGCTGGGTCCAACGCTGCACTGCGCTGCGTCCCGGCTTCATTGAGAAAAACCTGGCACCTTTATAGGCCCGGGCAGCCCAGAGGCCGCCACGAGGGAGGCCACACGTGGCCAATTGGCAGCATGGCCCACGGGGTGGGAGCAAGCACCCCCCCCCCCCTCCCCGCACCTGTTCCCTCTGGATGGAAATAGCTCCACGCTGCCTTTTGCCTAAATTAGTCATGGGCCAGCTGGGCGGGAGGGGTTGCGGGTGGATGTCACCCCGGCTGCCTCTTCCCTCCTCCTGCTCTCTTTACTCTCCTCTTCCCCCTCGAGCCAGACCGCCCCCCCACCCCCCCTTGTGGCAGATAAGGCGCCACACATCCTCCCTTCCTAAAAATATCCCGCCCGCGTGTCCTCTGGCCTGACCCTGACATTAGCACTGGTTCTGGTAGCCCTGAGGAAAGAGACCCCACCACCCCGCCACCCCCCTCACTCCATCACCAGCTACAGCAGCAGTGCCAGCACCCCACCCAAACCCCCCTGCGCTGGGAACTCCCCTGTCCAAGGAGGCTGCGCCAAGATGGGCTTAAGGTCCAGAATGGTGAGTGCCAGGTAGCCGTGCTGGTGGCCCGGGCCGGTCATCCAGGGATCATGTGAGGCCTGGAGGAGTCACTGGGCTTGGCCTCGTGCCTCTCAGCAGCCTGAGGATGGGTGGGTGGAGCATGACCTTGCCGCTCGCGCTCTGTACCCCTGGAAGCTGAGGGACACCCTCGCCCAAGTTCAAGCAGCTGCTTACGATGGTGCTGGGGTGTCCATCTGGACTGAAGGTTCTACCCGCCCTGGGAAGGTTCTAGCCCCCCAGCTGTCCTGTGTGACCTGGGTGGGCCATGTCATCTCTCTGTGCTGTGTCCCCCCAGTAACATGAGGACCATACTAGTGGGGCACAGGCTGTTATTATTATTATTTTATTATTATTGTGATTTCTATTAAGTAGAGATCTGGTCTTAGTCCCAGCACACAGTTCCTGAGACCCTTGTAATTTGCTAAGTGAGAAGAGGGCGTATCTTTTGTTATACTATTTGGACTTTTCTCTTTGATTCCTGAAACAGCTCCAGAATGATACAGACGAAAGAGGAGCCTTTTGCTATTTGTAACAAGTGCTTGCAACCGCCCCTGAGTTTATGCTGAGGGTGTGGCCTGGGAAAGGCCCTGGAACCACAGGACGGGGGCTGGTGGCCAGGGGAGCCAGCGTGTGGTGGAGGATGGAGTTTTCAGGGGAGAGGGCTGGGGATGGAGTCAATCACCAAAGGCCAGCAATCTAATCAGTCACACCTGTGTGACGAAGCTGCCACAAAAACCCTAAATGAAGGGGCTCAGGGCGCTTCCGGGCGGGGGAGCACCTCCACCTGCCGGAGGTAGTGCCCGGAGAGGCAGCCCCTTCCCCAAACCTTGCTCTCTGCGTCTCTTCCATCCGGCTGTTCCTGAGCTCTAGTCCTTACAAAAGCTGCTAACCTAGCAAGTCAACGGTTTTCCTGAGTCCTGTGAACTGCTATAGCAACTTGTCCAACCTGAAGTGGGGGGATGTATGGGAACCCAGATTTGTAGCCAAGTGGGACAGAAGTGTGGGTAACCTGGGCGCCCGCTACTTTGACCGGCTTCTGATGGGGCAGTTGTGGGGTCTGCACTAACTCCGGGCAGTGTCAGAATTCAGTTAAATTATAGGACATTCAACTGGGGTCTGCCCAGACCCGGAGAATTGCTCGGCGTGGGAAAAAGCCCCCACATCTGGTGTCAGGGTTGGTGTTGAGTGTAGAGAGGAAACAGTTTTCCCATTAGTATAAGAATAGTACATTTATGATAATGCTATAGTAATTAATAGAATGTATAGTTATATATGCATATATAATAACATATTATTATTGATATTATCATTATTACTATTAACTGCTGACTGGGTTTGATTCCAGGAAGGATTAGGGGCAGGAAATGAACTTGAATCACAGAGAAGCAGAGTCAGAAGGGGCATTGGGAGAAGTCATCAGGCCCCCCCTCTACAGATGACAGATGGAAGCCACACAGGACAGATGATGGCTCAAGGTCATGCAAGGTCACCCAAGGCACGGAGCTGTTGACATTTTCTCCTCTGAAACTCACCTAAGACTGGCAAGGGCCACAGCCCTTGGAAATAGGCAAAACTAGAAACTTCTAAAAAAAACACCAAAAAAAAAAAAAAAAACACCCTAGAAACTTCTGTTCTCAGTTTAGTTTATTTCACATAAAAATCCCCCCAAGTTTATGGAAATGATGTTCTCACATCACAACAGTAATCATAATGAATTGTTTTTTGTCTTTAAAAACCGCAAGACTCGCCATGGGAAGAATGGGCGTGTGAACAGGACTTAGGGTGCCCCCACGTGTCACAAGAGGAAAGTCCATTCATCGTTCCTTTATGACAAGGGATCCAGGTCCTTTGCATTTGGGCCCAAACTGCCCCACAGATACAAATCTTTCCCAAAGCCAGTTCAGAGGGTGGGGGTAGCAGCCTGGCTGGACACGGTGGCCCTGTTTGCACAGAACGTCTCACACCTGTGACAGGCGGCTGGCCTGGCGAGGGCCTCCTCAGGGGTCTCTCTTTGTTCTGGAAGGACTGCTGAGGCTGAGTTGGGGTCCTTGGTTCTGCTTGCCCAATGGTCGTCTGTGGTGCTGGTGGTCCGGAGGGGCGGTGGCAGACCACGGTGAACCTGTTGGAATTTTGCGTGTGGCCAGGATCTTTAGCCTGCAGGGTCCTTGAGGGCTGAACGGGGTCAGCACCTTTGTCCGTCTGCAGGCATTTACTAATCCTGGGATTGGGTAGAATGAAGTAGAATGAAGTGCTTCCTATCCCTGGCTCCTTTTTTATTATTTTCCCCTTGCAGCAAGGCCTTCCAGGAGTTACTGCATTCACTGGGGTGGGAGTTTGGGCCTTTTAGGACCATGTTGGTCTCAGATGAGCAAGGCTGGCCACCTGAACCTGGAGTTTAGGGCCTGGGATAGAGGGGCCTTGCGGAGGGCAGTCTAGGGAGGCCCATCCACCATCCTCTGCTGCCTCAGGCTCCAGGTGAGGCACCTGGGCCCAGAACAAGGTCCCTGTTCTTTATTTGACATTTGGGAAAGAGCAGAACTATAAGTTACAAAACCCCACCGGGCCCCCAAATGTCCTGGCCTCTTGAGGGCAATGCTGGGTCCCAGAATATGCAGGCCCAAAGCAGCTCAGAAACCTGGCATTTTTCAAGGCAGGAGCGGCTGGCGTTGGGACAATTCCTTGGTGCGGCAAAGTGCTGGGCATCCCTTTTCTTAGTGCTCAGTGCCACCAACTCCCTCTTGTTGTTGGGAGAGCTCTAAACGCAGCCCCTGCCATGCCAGGTCGAGAAGCATCAGACATTTCTACTGAGCCAAGAACCTCATACTTGAAAATTGGGGTGGCTCAACTGAACCTCGACGACAACCAGCTAAGGAGCCAGCTTCAGAGCCAGAAAGAGGGGCCCGGGGTGTGCCTGCTCAATGTTTGCTCAGATTCATAGAAATAGAGACTCTTAGGGTTGGAGGGGGCACCGAGGACCATTTTCTGCAAGCATAGTCCAGCCTTTTCTTAAATACCCCCCAAGATGGGGAACTCACTACCTCTAGAGGCCACCTGACTGGTGTTTGGACCATAATAGAAAAGTCTGTCTCCTTTGCATGCAGGTGGCTGTAGCATCCGGTCCACTGGAACTTATATCCCCAGGTGACCTTTGAAACAAACGAACACCCATACCCTGTTTCTTCCTTTTTCTTGGTCTGTGTTTCCAGGATGAGCCTATTTCAGAGTCGGCTTCTCAGCCTCTGCTCTTGGTGGGGATCCAAGGGGCACATCCCAAGTCTGTGTTGGGGTATTGGAGAAGTGGGGGCAGCTCATTCCCTTTGGAGGTATTGATCGATGGCCCTGTGGCATGGCGTCTGCTTTAAAGGGACTTGAGAAAGTTCTAGATCGAGAGGGAGGACAAGGATGACCAGGGCAGCTCTCACTTGTGCTGTGGGCTCCAATGCTCCCACGTCGATGTCATCAGAGAAAAAGGGGGCCATTCAAATGAAAAGCCATGAGGTTGAAGGTGCCCAGGGCACAGCTCTGTTGGGGGGCTGAGCCTCCTGGCCAGACGCCCAGGATTGCGGGAGCCATTCTGGGAGGAAAGGCACAGAACGAATTCCAGGTCTGGCCAGGGAGCCGGGCGGGGGGGGTATGGGGTGGGGAGGGCATTTATGGCTCCAACCTGGGCCAGTGTCCAGCAAGAGAAGGGTCTTAAAGCAGGACTTTGTGGAGTGGCTGGGACTCGGAGGCCAGAGGACACATGGGCCATGCCCTGTGCTTCTCTCTCTTCTTGGCTGTGAGCTCATGAGTCTGGAAGGGTGGAGGGCTGAGAACCGGATTCTTTTCCCGAATGCACTTCTACTGCATCATTACAAAAACGTGTTCAAGCAGCTAAAAAGGATGCTGGGTTTCAGAGGGGGTGGAGGAGTCAGGCACCCTCCGAGGACTGGGATTCAGGATGAGGTGGGACGAGGTCCAGGGCCAGAGGGCATCGGACAGAGGTTTCTTGGCATCTGGTATTTTCTTTCGTGTTCTTCTCTGTTCTCTCGTCACCTCAGGACATGCTGGAGAGGGAAACACACAGGCCACGTTATTGTTTTTATTTTACTTGAATTTTTATAAGGACTTATTTGAGCCAAATTGATGACATATGCTGGGAAGCACAATCTCAAAGGCTCCCTATTATTATTTTTAAAGAAAGTGGAAAATACTGTCCCGTGTTCTTGGAATCCAAAAGAATGGTCTAATCTGGCTTTGGTGCACCCTCAGCATCAAGAGTGGCACCTGCCCTTCAAGGCCTACCATCTGCTACCCACCTTCCAGATGTGGTTCTGAAGGGGACCGCTCTCTTGGTGCCCCGCAGAACAGACCTCAGAGCTGATGCCTCCAATCAGACTGGAGGGAAACTTCAACCCATCTACACCCCAACCCTGTCCCCCATCCATCCATCCATCCATCCATCCATTTATCCATCCATCCATCCACCATCCATCCATCCATCCATCCATACATCCATCCATCCATCCATTTATCCATCCATCCATCCATCCATCCATCCATTCATCCATCCATCCATCCATCCATCCACCATCCATCCATCCATTTATCCATCCATCCATCCATCCGTCCATCCATCCATCCATTTATCCATCCATCCATCCCTCCCTCCACCCACCTACCCACCCACCCAACCACCTATCCATTCTTCCATCTACCCACTCATCCGCCCGTCCACATACCCATCTATTCAACCCACCCACCTGTCTGTCCATTCATCTATCTGTCACTCTGTATAATTCCTTCTTGGATGTCTTTAATCATTTCTACCTGAGGATACCCGGGAGGGGGTCTAATTCTGTTGATTATTTTATCTGCCTACTTATCCTCATGGTGGATGATTTCCTTGTGTATTTTATGTCTGTGGATGTGAACTCATCTCCAGAAGGCGTGGAATGAGATGGTCTTTTCAAAAATGCATTGAGAACGTGCATTCACTTAGTATCCCCACAGCAGTACTGGTCTAAGATGGCTTTTGGTGTTTATTTCTTAGCTTGGGGCTTCTTGTGTCACCCGGGCAGTATTAGGGCAAGTGTGCAGGCCACGTGACAGATGTAGGAGAACGTGTGGTCAAGGATTAACCCCGCACATTCCAAGGAAAAGTGTGGCTCTTGCCTGGCTCCTGGGAGGCTACTCTGAGTCCTGGGACTGTCCTGCCTAGTAAGAGTGACTTTGTTTACCTGGGACCTTGGCCCATGTCAGAGAGTCTATGCTCACAATGGGATTTAGGGGGGAGGTGTCAGCTTGACCTCTGGAGGGGCTGGAGAGGAAGGGCAGTCAGCTGTGTAGACGTGACTGAGCCCAGTCAACACCCTGGACACCAAGGCTCAAGTGAGTGTCCCCGGTTGGTAACGCTGTGTGTGTTGCCCACGTTTTTACTGGGAGAATTAAGGGCTGTCCTAGTGCTGATTTCCATCTGACTCCATCCTTCCACTGCAATGAGCCGTCACCATGAGCAGAGCAGCTTTGCTGAGTTCTGAGTCCTTCTCGCAAACCACTGAACTCGAGGGGGGTCTTTAGGACCCCCAACACCCGAGAAGGCTTTTCCTGGCATCCAGAACCAAGCAGAAACCGAGACAGGCTGTGGGCAGATGGTGCACCCTTTGGCTGGGGTGGGCTTCACTTAGAACATTTCAAAAAAAAGGCTCCAAGATCACCCTGCTTCCTACCCACCTTGTCTCCTGATCTTCTGTGACCGGAGCAGACCTACGGAAGAGGGAAGGAGTCTTAGCATTATCTGCCTATGTTGGGGAGCCTGGGCATTTGTCTGTGAGCCCCATGAGGGCTGACCCAGCTTCAGCTTCATCTGGTACGAAGCAAGCGTCAGTGTGTGTCTGCTGCGTGACAAATGAGCCGGGACAGGCAGTCATGAGGAGACGGGCCGAGGCCTTCACTAATACAAAACAAAGCCACTGATGTTGCTCGGGACCCACCAGGTCTGGAGGGGCCAAACACAGCCACAGGGACTTGCACAAAGGTCACCTAACTGGGACCTTCCTCTGAGAGTAAAACTTGGGTCTCTCGGTGGCATCCGCTGCCCGTGGTCCCTATGCTTGGCTTGTGCTGAATACAGGGAAGAGGAGGGAATGGTCCCAAGGTAGACCCACTGCCCCCGGGGAGCTCAAGGGCAAGAGAAGGAGGGTTTCACAAGGGTCACAAGCAGGAGGCAGACCTGACAGAGGCAGGAAACGTGGGAAGGACTTCCAGAGGCGAGGGAGGGGCCGAGGCCAGGCCATTTGTCTACACATCCC